GTGGTGGCTGCTGAATGGAATCCTATATCTGAAGAGGCAAAGGAGGTTGACATTCAGGGCGCAGGTGGAGAGACAATTTGTCTTCAGATCCTGAAGGGAGAGAAAAGGATGGGTGGGGAGGTAAGTGTGGGTGGGGAAAAGAAGGTAAGAGTTTTGATCAGAGGGCTTTGATTCTTCTCAGTGAAGAAGAATGCTAAGGAATGACCAGGCTAAGTTGCTGAGTGGGTCATGTGCTTGCAGAGTGAGGGTGCCAGGGTGGAGCAGGACACCAGGAACCAGGTGCCAGAGTCCCTGGTGAGTGTGAGGGTGTGGCCAGGCGGTCGGGAGGTGACTGTGGGGCCCGCAAGGACCAGCGACAAGGGAGGGGGTAGACATGGTATAGCTGATGGCATCGGGCTCTTAGGATTTTTAAAAATTACAGTTATTTGGGCAATGAATATATAAAGGTAAAATTTCAATCAGTATATAAAGGAATTCATTCTTTTCAACAGATAGCATTCCTCAGAATGTATGTAGCTCAATGCATTCAGTCACATCCCACGGATGGGCATTCATGTTGTTCCTGTTTTTCGTGAATATAAAATAATGGTGGCAGAGACCACACGCATGTGTGCACTTTTGGTGAGAGCATCTGTAGGCTAAGTTCCTGGCAGTGGAAGAATTTGGTCAAGGACAAGTGTCTTCATTTGATGTGTTTTGTTTACTGAGGGTAAAGGCAAATGCCGTTAATTTTGATAGCTACCACCAACTTGCCCTCTGAAGAGGATCTTGGCTTTTTTACACACTGGGCATGTGACAATAGGCTTAAATTCATTGTGCCTCAGTTTCCTCTCTTCAAATGAGATAATAACATACACTATTGCAGAGCGATTAGAACAGGGCCAGGAACATGGAAAGTCAGTACTACGTAAGCGCCGGCTGACAGTGTCCATGTCTGTTGCTCACTTTTCTGCTTGCATTGTCTCTTCCTTGTGGATTTGTCTCTTCTGGAAAGTAGCCTGTTGCCTGTCATAGATGTTGCTTCTTTGTGTTTCATCATTTGACTTTGTTTTTAAAGTATTACATGCCGTGGGGAAATGTTAAATGGCTGTTGTTATGATCGCAATCATTGGAATTCCAAGATAATGAAAACAAATCATATCTTAAACATTTTTTTTCCTCTAGGAATCCGAGGACGTGTTTTTAGGGGATGGACAGTGAGTAATGGTTCTGAAAGCCTCCAGGAGCCAGAAAGAATGTCTCCCCCACCTCTCAGGAGAGGATCAGCCAGTTCCATCTGCAAGGGCTGTAGGACCGCGATGTCTGGGCAGGTTTACTGAAGCCAAGGGGGCCTTAGGACCTGGGGCTGCTTGTTTTTTCATAGCTAGGTGCAGGCAGGGAGTGCATACACGTGAGTGTGTATGGCACTGTCACTCGTGCGCGTGTGCGTGTGTGTACGTATGTGTGAGTGACAGAACTCTACAGAGATGGGAGTGAGCCTCTGGATAGGGAAGGGCAACTGGGAAAGGTTTGGGGGATGAAATCATCTCAAGATTCTTTCCCTAATCCCCTAAGGGGGTCTCTGGGAGGCCAGCAGAGGCATGGGTTGGTGGGAGACTGAGTTCAGATGAACCACTGGATGGGGCACTCTTGTGGACTGGGAATTTGGCCCTGCCTCTTGGTGTGGACAGCTCCTGGTGAAGCCTTCCAGAGGGGGTATTTCTGTGTGCAGCCTGGCACTGAGAGTGGGTTCCTGGTGCCAGCCTGAGAATAGAGAGCCAGGAGGAGACTGGGGAAGGCTGGAGCCGCCAGGAACACTTGAGGGAGGGGATGGAGAGGCGAGGGGCGGATACTGGGTGGGTCTGGAATGGGGAAATGTGGCTGGAGGCAAGGCTGCGGCCCAGGCCTGAAAAGCCTGCAGACTTTTCTCCTTTGCAGTGTCCTCCCAGCCCCCTCTCCCCTTGAACTTGGGGCTTTTATCTCTGGTGGAGAAACTGTGGCCCAGGGAGGGGCAGTGACTTACTCAGGGTTACCAGCAGTGGTCTGCCAAAGATTTCTCAGGCCAGGCTCTAGGGGAGCAGTAGTGGGTTGGGGGGGAGTTGGAGGAATTCCTGGCCTGGGTGGGAAGCAGCCTCTCGAGGGCAGATAAAGTGGGGGTTGCCAGTGCGGTGGCTGGTGGGGGCGGGGCAGCTAAGGGACCAGCTGTGGAACTTGGGTAGGTTTGGGGCGGGTGGAGGGCTAGAGGCTGGGGCGGGAAGTAGTGGGAAAAGAACTGAGGATGGGCACTGATGGGTAAGGACGTTGGAGTGCGTGAGTGTGTGTGTGTGTTGTGGTACATATGTGTGTAGGTGCATGTGTGATGTGTCTATCTGATGTGGTATGTGTCTATCTGAATGACATATTGTGCATGTGTGTGTGTTCGTGTGTGTGCATATGTGTGGGAATGATGTGGTGTGTACTTGTACATATGTTTATGTGTGTGTGTGTATGAGTGTGTGTGTAAATGATAGTGTGCGGTGTGTGGAAGTTAAATAGTTGGTCTCTTTTGCCTGCTTGGGGGTTAGGGGCGGGGAGGAGCTGGTTCCCATGACTGCAATAGCATGGGGCCAAATCTGTATGCTTTTTAAGCTACACCTGAGAATTCCAGGTTAAATTTCTCTCTCTGCTCTCTCTCACTCTCTCTCATAAACACAGACACACACACACACACACTCCAGCCAACACCACTGAAGTTCTCTTTGGGCATCCCTCGGCTTCTGGCCTGACCTGTCCCAACACCAATATGGAGGCGAGGAAGGGGAGGGGGCCTGGATCTCTCCTGAGATCACTGAGAGGGGCTGCTGCCCGTTAGTCTTTGTCTAACTGAAATGAAAACCAGGGATGGCATTCTGTCCCCACCCTCCTCCACCCAGGGTGCCCCCAAGGGCTTGGTCTGAGGTGACACCTTGCTAGCTCACTGGGTGGGGCTAGAGGACAGTCCAGCTGGCTGTCTTTTCCAAAAGCTCCTCAGGCTGCCCCTCTAGCCGAGCGAAATGGGGACAGGGCTGGGCAGAGGGTGTGGCCCTCGTGGCTGGAGGCTACTGGGAAGTGAGGCCAGTGCTTAGCTGTCTTGGTCCAGTGGTCCCGGTTCAAGGACAACTTTTATCCCCATCTTGGGCTCAGTTTGAAACTGCTGGGAATTGTTTGGTGGTGGCTTCAGGTGGGGGAGATGATGAGAGCTGGGGACCTTTAAACAGCAAAAGGGCAGGGGTCGTGGGGTGGGGAGGAGTGTCTGAGTGCAAACACAAGCAAGTGCATAGACATGCGTGCAAAAGTGTGCAAGTGTGTATCCAGGCACACTTATGCCCCTGCCTCTGAATACAGACTCCTGCTTATAGAAATACGTTCACAGACATGCAAACACAGACGTAAACACACATCTTGGGTGTGCACCCAGTGAAGTTCAGGGCCTGCAGGTGTGTTCACAGAGAAGTGTATAGACCTTCACATGTAGCGTCCCAAATACACACAGGTGTCCCCTTCTCCAGAGTCAAATAAAAAAATGGACAGGAATGTGATTTGGGGGTGGGGGGAAGTTCAGGCCCAGGGTAACCATTACCAGGGGCCTCTGGGCTTCAGATTGGAGTGGGGCGGAGAGGGGCAAGAAGTGGGGCCCCGTTTTGCCTAGTTTCTATATGGAAACGAGGTGGAGGGGCATGTGGCCAGGCAAACCAGCTAGGCCAGGCCCACCCTTGGGTCAGCTTACTCAAGAACTGAGCTGATGTCTCAAGGAGGAGCTGGACTTGGGAGGGAGGCTGTCAGGGAACGCCTTTCTGGCATTCAGTAGCCTGGGAAGGGGACTAGGGGCTGAAACCTAGACTAGAACATTTGGTCCACCCCTTCTCCCAATCTTCTACGGCTTGAGCTTTCGCTTTCGTCTCAGGATTCTGGATATTCTTCACCCCTTTCCCCAAGCTTCCTCCAGGAAGCCTTCCCTGATTGAACCCGTTTCGGATCGCCTGGGACCACTTGTCTCCTTCAGCTTTCTGCTTCGCCTGCATCAAAGGGTCTGGCGTCTACGGCCCTCCTCCCCACTCTAGACAGTTCCGCCTGGAACCGAAAGCCTGGGCTGCCTTGGAGGGGACCGCGCAGAGGGCGGAAGCTCGGTCCCGGGAGGGGCGGGCAGGCAGAGAAAGGTGGCCGGCGGCCAGCCCCGCCCCTACCTGTGTAAGCTGATCCGCCCGCGTCTAGCTGATAAAAGGGGCCGAGTCTGCGGAGG